TCAGTCAGGATAGGCTAAATTATGCTGCAATAACAGCCTCAAATTCTTAGCGGCTTAAAATAATGAAAGTTTTCTCATCCTATACATCCAAAACAGGATGGCTGGAGACTATAGTTCATGGCATCCTCAAACCAGGACCCAGATTTACAGAGCAGACACTATTTGGGACATTGCCACTTTCCAAGCCAAGAGGAGGGTTTATGGAAAACCAAGCATTCACTTTTTGCAATTTTTAACTGGAAGGAATCCCATGCCACATTTTGTGGATCAATGCCAGTCACAATACCACATCTAATGTCAAGAGGGCAGGGATGTGCAGTCCAACTTGTTCCACATTCTTAGCCTTCCTTGCAGCTAGTGGTGGTGATGTGACACTGGTCAAGGAAACCTAAGGGGAAATCTGATGGGAGAACTTTTGAGTTAATTTTTGCTTTTCTGTTAAGAGACAGGTTCATGTTGTACACCTTCATCCTTATTCCTGCCTTAAAAGTGGATGCTATGCTGGAGCTGTTTGGGCATTTTGCTTAAGAATGATAAATCACACGTTGGAGATAAGAGACTATCAGGATGAAAGGAATGCTTAATGACCTGATTTTGTAGCTAAACTAATGTTCATTATGAATTTCTTGTTATATGGGGGGAAATATGAAACCAATTTACTTTTTTTCTTTTTTGTTTCAATGTTTATTGTACTTTAAAATTATAATATTAATAAAATTACATTTGAAATTTAGAAAATAAAAGAGAAAACCTATATGTTGTCCTACCACACAAACCATACCAATGTTAGCATTTTTATATATTTATTATCATAGTTTGGGGTGAAACTAATTTTCTAAGCCTGTTACTTGGATCTAGAAACATTACTTACTTAGGTGTATGAGAGAGAAGAACATCCCTGAAACACCTTCCTCAGATAGTTCCTAGGGTTGGGCTAGCAATGCAGGAACCAAATAATGTCCATCTTGCTTTGTAAGTGCTGGCTAGTAAAGCATAGGAAAAAGAAATTTCCCACCAGATTGCTCTCTTCTAGTTCCCTATACTTCCCTTTCTCCCTGGTACCAGTTCTCCAATTGCACACTTTCTTTTCCTAATTGCAGTTGACTACTTTTATCCTCTTCTTGAGTGCCTGAAATTGGCTATGTCTACTTCATGTGAATTATCCTAGACATGATTGAATTAGGTCAATTTCTAAGAGATATTTGAAAAATCAGTAAGTTGCTTCAAAATTTGTGCCAGCTTATGGAATTCTTCCCACATGTCTTAGAGACCTTCCAGAATATGTGGCACAATTAGCACCGATTGACTTAGGAAGTTCCCAGCTAGTGTGTTTGGACATTTGTTATTTTTTCCCTGTGGCCTGATTTATACAGAGCCCCAAGTCTTTTCAGACCCTGGAACTGTGAACTAGGTAAAACCTGATTGTTAAATACAGTCCTGTCAGTAGAGCACAAAGAAAGATGGACTATAAATGTTTGTCTTTATGACCTTAAATTCTCCAAGAGTTCCCACTCTACTTTAAGTGGTTAAACTTCAGGCACCTGATTATAGAATTTTCTTCCAGAAGAGAATTTACTTCTGGAAAATCCTAGAACATCCCATTGTCTTGGTTTAGTACTCTCCTCCTACCCCCAGCCTACTTGGATAGTACTGCCTGTCTAAGATTGCTAGCTTTTTCTACCCATTTTGATCACTTTGTTTCTTTATTGTTGTTGCATGAATTGTTATAGATTTTGAAAGGGCAATGTTTTACTAATATTTCTCCTGTGCCCTGAAGTGCTTCTCTAAATAATATAGTTGTGGTCTTAAAATGATAATGCATTCTTTTCTTTAAAGCTTGTAGCTTTTATAAGTTTTCAAAAGTAAATCATATGGATTTACTTTTCTTACACTTAATTTCATGAGCAGTTGCTCATGGGGAAAAAAGACATAAAGGTACTTTCTAAGCTCTAAATTAGGGATTAAGAAAGCATCTACTGTAGGTTGTCATTTGTGTTTAGATAGGAGAAGAATGTTCTGTATAGCTGCCTGTTGCAACATATGAATCATCTTGCATTATTTGTCCTTTACTTGAATGATATGGAGGATAATTGGAATCCTTAGTAGATATCCTGTTTGACTTATTTTCCTCTCTGAATATCAGAATGCCTAGTACATAATAGGCACCTAATAAATGTTCATTGGATAAATGAGACAATCAAAGGTTTTGAAACTCTTACTCTTCACTTTTATAATTCCCCATTTATGAATCTCTCATTAGGCTAGGGATTAAAATACCTGGTTTCTGGTTTTATATATACTGCTTACAATCTTTAACATGAGCCTCATAATACATTACAAGTTAGTTTGAAGGCCCCAAAGAAATAATAAATAGTCTTAAACATTTAAGTACCTTATAATTTAGCACAGAACTGGGTCCTGAGCAGTATATACAAGAAATTGAAGTAATTATTCCTACCTTTGGGAGATGCTAGTATTGTTGGGTATAATGAAGCACAGTTCCACAAATGTAAAAGGAAAAAGTATGAGATGTGTGGGATGAATCTGGGATTATTTTCTTCTAGAACATACAAATGTTATGGTGAAGAGGGGATTGGATATGGATAACATAAAGGAATGATATGTCTGTGAAGCATTTAAGTGGAATGAATCTGTCATCTGTTTTCCAAATTTGGCAATACATAGAATAAATAAGGAAACTTTTAAAAATATCATTGCCCTAACCCAGTGGTTCTCAACCTTCCTAATGCCGCAACCCTTTAATAAAGTTCCTCATGTTGTGGTGACCCCCAATTTTATTGTTACAAATTGAACCAGTAGTCAGAATTCCCCATTGTTTCATAAGTGAAAAACAAATTATCTCTCACAAATAATAGCCAAGCAGTCCCTAACTGGTTTGACTCAGTGGGTAGAGCGTTGGCTCAAGGACTGAAGGGTCCCAGATTCGATTCTGGTCAGGGGCATGTACCTTGGTTGTGGGCACATCCTCAGTAGGAGGTGTGCAGGAGGCAGCTGATTGATGTTTCTCTCTCTTCGATGTTTCTAACTCTCTATCCCTCTCCCTTCCTCTCTGTAAAAAAATCAATAAAATATATATGTTAAAAAATAAAAATAAAAATATCATTGCATAGACCACATCATAAACCAATTATATGAGAATCAGGGGTCGGGGAGGTGAGGCTCAGGAATCAGTATAATTTTTTAAAATCTTCCCAGGTGATTCCAGTGCATAGCCAAATTCGATAACAAATGTTCTAAAGTTGTGCTTCTGAAACTTTAATCACTTGGAGATTTTGTGAAATGCAGAATCTGATCCAGTAGGTATGAGGTGGGACCTGAGATTCTCCATTCCTAACAAACTCCCAGATGATGCTGACACTCCCAGAACAAGGACCACACGTTGAATAGTTATCTTATAAATTGTATATAAGTATACATGTCAGGTAGTAAAAAAAAAATGGACATGGAAATAGCATTTATTTAGTACCTATATGCCAGGAACTGTGCTGGTAACTTTATATATTATACTATTTAATCTTTTTTGTTGTTGTTAACGCCCACCCAAGAATATTTTTTCCATTGATTTTTTTGGAGAGAATAGAAAGAAGGGATAGGAAAGAAACATCGATGTGAAAGAGACACATCAATTGGCTGACTCTCACTCATGCCCCAACCAGGGCTGGGGGGCCGAACTTGCAACCTAGGTATGTGCCCTTGACTGGGAATTGAACCTGCAGTCCTTGGGTCCCTAGGCTGATACTCTAACCATTTATCCATGCAGGCCAGGGCTATGTCATTTAATCTTTTTTAAAATTTCTTTATTGATTAAGGTATTACATATGTGTCCTTATCCCCCCATTACCCCCAGACCCCCCCACTCATGCCCTCACCCCCCTATATGTCATTTAATCTTAAAAACAGAAAATAATAGCCTGACCAGTGTTGCTCAATGGTTGAATGTTGACCTATGAAGCAGTAGGTCACAGTTTGATTCCCAGTTAGGGCACGTGCCTGGGTTGTAGGCTTGATCTCCAGAAGGAGGCAGTCAATCAAAGATTCTCTCTCATCATTGATCTTTCTATCTCTCTATCCCTCTCCATGTCTCTGAAATAAAAAAGTATATTTTAAAACTATTTTATAAAACAGAAAATAATATAATAAGAATAAGAATGTTATTACCCCCATTTTAAAAATGAAGATCCACAGGTTGAGTGGATAAATAGTTTTCTAAGGTTGGACAGCTAATTCATGATGCAAGTTGAATTCACACTCTGACAGAAAAACCCATAGGTTAAGAGACATTTTTGGATACCCTCATATGATAAGAAGAAGCATTTCGATCTGAAATAGTAGGTAATGTCTTTATAGCAATCTCTTCATTGGATCACCTAAGGAAAGTTCCCATGTTGCCAAGCTTGATTTCACACTCTTCCTCCATGTAGTATATCTAAGCAAGTAAAGAACATGATATTATGCATGTCTCTAGGCTAGGGTTGTGCTTCAATATTATGGTATCAAAGATCTTGGAGAAGTTAGAGTAGAATGTGAATAAATACTAATTTCAAAGTAGCAGTGCTCAAGAAGGATGTCAAAATTCAAAAGAAAAAAACACAAACATGTTTTTCAACTATTGAGGTCAAAAAATTGTTGACTCTAGAGCAGCGGTTCTCAACCTGTGGGTCGCCCCTTTGGTGACGACCCTTTCACAGGGGTCGCCTAAGACCATCAGAAAAGACATATATAATTACATATTGTTTTTGTGATTAATCACTATGCTTTAATTATGTTCAATTTGTAACAATGAAATTGGGGGTCACCACACATGAGCATTAGGAAGGTTGAGAACCACTGCTCTAGAGGAAGAAATTGTGTTTTCTGAAATTATTTGGCTCTGACTCCTTGGTTCTTTTAAATGTTATTCCAAATGAAAATAACCCTTAAATATAGCTTAGCTACTCTTTTGTTTGCTTTTTAAAGTTATTTTCCCCTTCTCCTTCTAGGAAGCTGAAAAACGAACTCTTAGAAGCAAAACATAGAAGTGGGAAGATTCAACAAGAGACCAGCAGAGTCTGTGTTCACTGTCAGAGAAACCTGGGCTTAATATTTGACCGGGGAAACCCATGCCAGGCCTGCTCACTGAGGGTGTGCAGTGAGTGTCGGGTCTCGGACCTTGATGGCAGCTGGAAGTGCACTGTCTGTGCCAAAGTCGCGTGAGTTTCTTGATTTTGCTTGGAAAACCAGATTTGAAGACTGAAGGGATTGGAGTGAGAAAAGCAAGAAAGAAAAAGAGTATTTAAAATTTTTGGATAGAATGTGGAATTATAAGTATAACCCAATCATGGGTTCAGCAAGGCTTTGGCAGTGGTGTGTGTGTGTGTGTGTGTGTGTGTGTGTGTGAGAGAGAGAGAGAGAGAGAGAGAGAGAGAGAAGAGAGAGAGGAAAGAGAGAGAGAGAGAGAGAGAGAGAGAGAGAGAGAAAAGAATAGATAAACAGAGACAGATACAGAGTCAGAGAGAACAGTATTTTTATTTTTTAACACTATAACATATAGTAAAATTAGAAGCCTGACAGAATGACGCCTCTTTCTGCATTTGAAAGCCACACAGGATTTTTCTTCTATTAGAGCCCCAAGCTCTATGTGGCTTCTCAGAAGGCACGGACAGTTACCCTGAGACATTTAGGGTAACTGTCAAGATAAATATGAAATTTCCAGGCTGCTGTCTCCACATCAGCTGAGAGACAAAACTAGAGTAGCTCCTGAATTTTTGCCAACCTAGTTCTTGAGAAAGGGTGAAGGGAGAGAACCTTCTCATTCACCTCTGCGTTTAGCCTATTGGAGTAAAATGGTCACAGGATTCTCTAAGCCAACCTGGGTACAAGTCAAGAATCATTGTTTTCTAAGATTAATTAAACTGGAGTCTAAGCCTGATTGGTCACTACTAATCCTGGATCCTACTAACTCCATCCTTTTGGAAAGTCTCTCCCTGGACCAACCAATATATTTTCTCCCCCCAAAGTCACTTCATCTCTACTCTGGGAAGTGCCTAATAATCTTATCTCAAGGCAACTCCATGTTGATCTGTTTCCTGTGCTTGAGGTGTGGGAGGGTGCTGAAATTACTTCAGGTTTGTTTGGTTTGGTTTAGTTTAGTTAAGTTTATCTTTTCCCCTCACTAACACATTCTCTTATAGGTGTTAAGAGGTTAATTTTAGGAGGAAAGTGAATAGTTTAGTAGTAAGAGTGAGTGACCTTCCATTTCCAGCCACTCTGAATAAAGGCTAGTGTGTTCCATTGAGGATTCCTATATTCCTCACTCGAGGATATTTTTCCATTGATTTTCAGAGAGAGTGGAAGAGAGAGGAAAGACAGAGAGAAATATTGATGTGAGAGAAACATTTGTGAACTGTTTTGCTTTTTTTCTAACACATATTTTTAATGCCATATTGCATATTTGTTTTAAAATTATTGAATTCTGCCATGTTCTTTCTTTCCTTTCCTTTTTTGGATTTAATTTATTTCTCATTATCAATTTTTTATACAGATGCTTAAATACTTACTTTTTCAGCCTTTATTCTTTTCTAAAATATGCATTTAAGGATTGAATTATCTTACTTTCATTGTTTAGTTGCACTTCACACATTTTAATATAAATTTTTATGATATAGATTGAATTCTAGTTTCTAATTTCTATTGTGATTTTTTTCTTTGATCATGAGTTATTTATAATTGTCTTCCTTAATATCAGATTTCATGGGGAATTTATGAATTTTTTTCTTAAGCTTTTAAAAAATATATTTTCATTTATTTCAGAGAGGAAGAGAGAGGGACAGAGAGATAGAAACATCAATAATGAGAGAGAATCATTGATTGGCTACATTCTGCAGGCTCCACACGGGGCATTGAGCCCACAACCCAGGCATATGCCCTGAGGGGGAATTGAAGTGACCTCCTGGTTCATAGGTTTTTGCTCAATCACTGAGCCATGCCAGCTGGGTGGTATCTGTTTTTTATATTGAATTCTAACTTAAATCTAGGGTAGTAAGAGAACATACTTTTATGAATTTAGTCTTTGAAATTCTGCCCAGCAATTGGTTGATTTTGTTAAATGTTTCTTAGATCTTTGAAAATAATGCATTCTGCAGTTATTGATTTGAATGTCCTAAATAACTCTATTAAATGCTTGTTAACCATATTGTCAAAATCTTCTATATCCTTACTAATATTTTTTTACATACTAGAGGCCTAGTGCATGAAACTTGTGCATGGGTAGGGTCCCTAGGCCTGGCCATCAATCAGGGTCAGCCAGGGCCTTCCTTTCCCTGGCTGCCAGCTGCTGGCTGGGCCTTCCTTCATTCCAAGCCGTCCCCTAGTGGTCAGTGCATGTCATAGTGAGTGGTTGAACTCCCAGTCGGTTGAACTCCCAAGGGGACAATTTGCATATTAGCCTTTTATTATGTAGGATTCCATCCGATATTATGAGAGATATATCCTAACATCTCTCAATAATTATTGTGGATATTTCATTTATTCTTTTAATTCTGATAATATTTGCTTTATATATGCTGAAGGTATAATCTTGAGCACTTAAAATATTTAGGATTGTGAAGTTTTATGGGTGTACAGATTCATAATTATGAAAAGTCCCTCCTAATTGCTAGTTCTGAATTTTCCCCTTAAAGTTGATTTTGTTTGTAATTAGTATGGCTACAACAGTTTTCTTTTGGTAAGTGTATGCTGGGTAAATCCTTTTTTCCCTTTTACTGTCCACCTTTTGTTTCTTTATATTTAAGGTGTGTCTCTTGTAAGCAGCATATAAATGTGTGTATATTTTATATCTTGTTCAACAACTATAACTTAATTAGGATATGTACTCCATTTGTAGTAATGGAATTACTAACATATTTTACTTAAAATCTACCCCCTATGTACTCACTCTCTCTTTGTTCCATCTAGTCTGTTTTGTCTCTACTCATTTCACTTCATTTAGATTGTCTAAGTATTTTATATTTACATTAGATTTTAATAAATCAAGAATTCATATTGTAATCTCTATAAAAGTACTGTTTGCACTTCTGAGACAATACCAAGGCCTTAAAATACTTTAACTCCCTTTACTCCCCTCTTAGTGTTATTTTTGTATTTTTAAAATATCTGTATATTTATCTATAACTATACACACATACACAAACATATATAGACATATGTATTTATTTATACACCCACACTTTGAATTATTCAAGCAACCTAACAGAATACCATAGACTGGGTTGCTTACAAACAACAGAAATTTATTTTTCACTGTTCTGGAGAGTGGAAAATCTAATATCAATGTTCTGGCAGATGTGTTGTCTGGTAAGGGCCTGTTTCCTGGATCATAGATAGCTAGCTGTCTTCTTGCTATGTCCTCACATAGTGGAAGGGACAAGGAAGCTCTCTGGGGTCTCCTTTATAAGAATAGCAATCACTTCCCAAAGGCTCAGCCTCCAAATCCCATCAGATTAGGGATTATGTTTCAACAAATGAATTAGGAAGGGGACACAAACATTCAGTCTATAACATAGTTAATCCCACAAGATATTATTGGTATATTATAGTCAGTGTTCATTTAAATTTACTACATAGTTACCCTTTCCGTTGCTCCATACTTTGTATTACTACATCTCTATGTTTCTATGTGGGATAATTTTTCTTCTGTCTGAAGTACAGCCTTTAGTATTTCCTTCAGTGTAGTTCTGCTAGTGATGCATATTCTCAATTTTTGTTTTTCCTTAATGTGGATTTATTTCATTTTTAATTTTCAAACATGTTTTTGCCAGTTATTGAACTCTAGGTTAAAAGTTATTAACTTTTAGTAATTCAAAGTTATTCATTCTATTGGCTTCTGGTTTCCAATATTCCTGCTAAGAAATCAGATGTCAATATGCTTACTGTTGCTTTTTTGAGGGTAATGATACCTTTTTTTTTTACTGCTTTTAATATTTTTCACTTTCCTGTCAGATTTTCAAGTTACTATAACATGGCTGGGTCTGATTTTCATTGTATTTGTTTATCTTGGGTTTTCTAGAGTATCTTAAATCTGCACCTATTAATATCATTTGCCATATTTTAAAATTTCTCAGATAATATCTTTTCACAGATTACTTTTCCCCGTCTCCTTTTCCTTTACTCCAGGTCCTCCAAATACATTTTTTAGCTATATTCAATATCTTCTATATAACTCTTATACTCATTTCCATATTTTCTATTCTTTTAATATTTGAATTTTATAATTTTGTCTGATTTGTCTTTCTATTCACTAATCTTTTCTTTGGTTGTGTCTAATTTGCTCTTAAATTCATTTATTTATATCATAACAACAGTTGTGTTTTTCAATTTTAGAATTTTGCTTTTGCTGTTTTCTAACTCTCTGCTGACCTCACTCTTTTCCTATGATTTCTTGAATAAATTATTTGTAATTATTTTAATGTCTATGAATTATAGCTCCATTATTTAAGTCCCAAATGAGACTGATTTTACTGTTTGTTGTTTCTCTTGGTTTTGATCATGTCTTGTGTTCTCATAAACCTGATAATTTTTGATTAGTAAACAAATTCAAATATTGTACAATTGAAAAATTATAAAGCATAGTGATATTTTGTGTAATAATATGTATAATTGAGAATATATGTTTTTCTTCTAGTGGGGAATTAGGATAGGGACACTAGATACTCAATATTACCTTAATCACATCAGGGATTAAACTAATTTCAAAATTGGATACTCAGTCCCTGTATGAGCTGATCTATTTTTGGTTCAGTTACTCCTAGGGAATAATCCTCCAAGGTCTTAAAATATACCTATTAGGTATTAGAAGCAATTTGTTTTATATTTTATACATGGTGGAAATAAGAATGCTGAGGTTAGAATGTGTGTTAGTAGAATTGGCATGAGTTGGTTTCTTCATTTGGTTCTGAACCCAGCTCTTTTCCTACCAGACTCTGCCAAGGTGAAGTTTGCTGTTTCAGGGTAATGGAGAAGGAAATGAAATTTTAATAAATGACTGACCTTCCAATTGCAGAGTCTGAGGACTTATAAGGAATTTCTGACCATTTTTCCAATTCTTACACAATATTACTTTATTTGATCCCTAGTATTTAATGATTTCCAAGTTTTATTCCATTGACTCTTTTATCTACAATCTGGACCCTCATTTGCTCAGACAGGAGGAACT